TCTATGTTACTAAGCAGTGGGCTATATTACTGAGCACTGGGCTATGTCACTGAACTCTGGGCTATGTTACTGATCCCTGGGCTATATTACTGTGCATTGGGTTATGTTACTGAGCGCTGGACTGTGCTACTGAGCTCTGGGCTATATTACTGTGCATTGGGCTATGTTACTGAGTACTGGGCTATGTTGCTGAGCACTGGGCAATGTTAATGATCACTGGGCCACGTTACTGAGCATTGGGCTACGTTACACTGAGCACTGGTCTATGTTGCTGAGTATTGGGCTACATTACTGAGCACTAGGGCTAATCTATTGAGCATTGGGCTATGTTACTGAGCATTTGCTATATTACTGAGTGGTGGGCTGTATACCCTGAGCCCTGGGCTATGTTAGTGTGCGCAGGGCTATCTTACTGAGCGCTGGGCTGTGTTACTGAGCTCTGGGCTGTGTTACACTGAGCGCTGGACTATGTTACTGAACTCTGGGCTATGTAGAGGCTCTCTTGTGGAGTCCTGTAGCTCAGTGGTTAGAGCACTTGCTTTGCAAGCGAGAGACCTGAGTTCAATTCCAGGCAGAGGGCGAAACCTTGGGCAAGTTTCCTTACTCCACACAGAGCCTAATAATAATCCCTCCAAAACAAAAAACAATAATAAATTGGTCATTTTCAATCTACGACTGTTTGTGGGACATTGCTGTGCGCAATTGGCTGCCACGTTCGCCCACAAGTATACAGTCAATTCACTTTACAGTATATTCTGTGAAGCGCTTTGGGACGTCCTCCCGACGTGAAAAGCGCTATATCAAATGCAAGGATTATTATTATTATTATTATTATTATGTTACTGATCGCTGGGCTATATTACTGAGCATTGTGCTATGTTATTGAGCGCTGGCCTATGTTGCTGAGCACTGGGCTATGTTAATGATCACTGGGCCACGTTACTGAGCATTGGTCTACGTTACACTGAGCACTGGTCTATGTTACTAAGCAGTGGGCTATATTACTGAGCACTGGACTATGTCACTGAACTCTTGGCTATGTTACTGATCCCTGGGCTATATTACTGTGCATTGGGTTATGTTACTGAGCGCTGGGCTGTGCTACTGAGCTCTGGGCTATATTACTGTGCATTAGGCTATGTTACTGAGCCCTGGGCTATGTTACTGAGCCCTGGGCTATGTTAATGATCACTGGGACACGTTACTGAGCATTGGGCTACGTTACACTGAGCACTGGGCTATGCAACTGAGCACTGGGCTATGTTACTAAGCACTGGGCTATGTTACTGAACACTGGGCTAAGTTACTGAGCATTGGGCTATGTTACTGAGCCTTGGGCTACGTTACTGAGCACTGGGCTATGTTAATGAGCACTGGGCTATGTTACTGTGTACTGGGCTATGTTACTGAGCACTGGGCTACATTACTGAGCACTTGGGTAATGCTATTGAGCATTGGGCTATGTTACTGAGCATTTTGCTATATTACTGAGCGGTGAGCTATAGTACACTGAGCGCTGAGCTATGTAAGTGTGCGCTGGGCTATCATACTGAGCACTGGGCTATGTTACACTGAGCCCTGGGCTATGTTACACTCAGCACTGGGCTATGTTACACTGAGCACTCGGCTAAGTTACACTAAGCACTGGGCTATGTTACACTGAGCACTGGGCTATGTTACACGAGCCCTGGGCTATGTTATACTGAGTGCTGGGCTATGTAAGTGTGCGCTGGGCTATCTTACTGAGCACTGGGCTATGTTACACTGAGCACTGGGCTATGTTACACTGAGTACTGGGCTATGTAACTGAGAGCTGGGCTATGCTACTGAACACTGGGCTATGTTACACTGAGTGCTGGGCTATGTTACTGACACTAGGCTACCTTACTGAGCTTTGGGCAATGTTACTAAGCGCTGGGCTATATTACTGAGTGCTGGGCTATTTTACTGACTGCTGGGCTATGTTACTGAACACTGGGCTATGCTACTGAACACTGGGCTATGTTACTAAGCACAAGGCTATGTTACTGAGCTCTGGGCTATGACACTTAGCACTGGGCTATGCTACTGAGCTCTGGGCTATGTTACTGAGCACTGGGCTTTGTTACTGAGCACTGGGCTATGTTACTGAGGACCCGGCTATGTTACTGAACACTGGGCTATGTTACTGAGCACTGGGCTATGTTACTGATCCCTGGGCTATATTACTGTGCATTGTAGCTATGTTACTGTGCGCTGGGCTATGTTAATGAGGACTGGGCTATGTTACTGAGCGCTGGCCTATGTTACTGATCGCTGGGTTATGTTAATGAGCCCTGGGCTATATTACTGAAATCTGGGCTATGTTACTGAGCTTTGGGCTAGGTTACTAAACGCTGGGCTTTGTTACTGAGTGCTGGGCTACGTTACTGGGCACTGGGATATCTTACTGCGCGCTGGGTTATGTTAATGAGCCCTGGCCTATATTGCTGAGCAATGGGCTATGTTACTAGGATTGGGCTATGTTACTAAACGCTGGGCTTTGTTACTGAGTGCTGGGCTACGTTAATGAGAATTGGGCTATGTTAATGAGCATTGGGCTATGTTACTAAGCACTGGGCTATGTTACTAAGCACTGGGCTATGTTACTAAGCATTGGGCTATGTTACTAAGCACTGGGCTATGTTACTAAGCATTGGGCTATGTTACTAAGCACTGGGCTATGTTACTGAGCATTTGACTATGTTACACTGAGCGTCTGGCTATGTTAGTGAACCCTGGGTTATGTTACTCAGCGGTGGACTATGTTACTAAGCACTGGGCTATGTTACTAAGCACTGGGCTATGTTTCTAAGCACTGGGCTATGTTACTAAGCACTGGGCTATGTTACTAAGCACTGGGCTATGTTATTAAGCACTGGACTTTGTTACTGATCGCTGGTTATGTTACATTGAGTGCTGGGCTATGTTACTGAGCACTGGGCTATAGTACGCTGAGCACTGGGCTATGTTACACTGAGTACTGGGCTACGTTACTGGGCACTGGGATATCTTACTGCGCGCTGGGTTATGTTAATGAGCCCTGGCCTATATTGCTGAACAATGGGCTATGTTACTAGGATTGGGCTATGTTACTATGCACTGGACTATATTACTGAACACTGGGCTTTCTTACACCAATCACTGAGCTACTTTACTGAGCAATGGGCTATGTTGCTGATCGCTAGGTTATGTTAATGAGCTCTGTGCTGTATTACTGATATATGGGCTATGTTACTGAGCGCTGGGCTACTGATCACTTGGCTATGTTACTAAGCACTGGGCTATGTTACTGAGCACTGGGCTATATTACTCAGTATTGGGCTATATTACTGAGCGCTGGGCTATGTTACTGAGCATTGGGCTATGTTACTGAATGCTGGGCTGTTACACTGAGCGCTGAGCTACATTACTAAGCACTGGGCTGTGTTACTGATCGCTGGTTATGTTACACTGAGTGCTGGGCTATAGTACACCGAGCACTGGGCTATGTTACACTGAGTACTGGGCTATGTTACTGGGCACCGCGATATTTTACTGAATGTTGAGTTATGTTAATGAGCCCTGGGCTATATTGCTGAGCACTGGGCCATGTTACTGAGAACTGGGCTATGTTATTGGGCATTGGGCTATGTTACCTAGCATTGAGCTATGTTACTATGCACTGGGCTATATTACTGAACACTGGGCTATGTTGCTGAGCACTTGGTTATGTTACACTGAGCACTTGGCTATGTTACTGAGTTCTGGGCTATGTTACTGAGCACTGGGCTATATTACTGAGCCCTGGATAATGCTACTGAGCATTGGGCTATGTTATTGAGCGCTGGGCTTTGTTACAATGAGCGCTGAGCTATGTTACTAAGCCCTGGATTAAGTTACTGATCGCTGGTTATGTTACATTGAGCACTGGGCTATGTTACTGAGCACTGGGCTATGTTACTGAGTCCTGGGCTATATTATTGAGCTTGGGGCTATGTTACTGAGCCTTGGGCAATGTTACTAAGCGCTGGGCAATGTTACTAAACGCTGGGCTAAGTTACTGAGCACTGGGCTATGTTACTGAGCACTGGGCTATGTTACTGAGCACTGGGCTATGTTACTGAGCGTTGGGCTATGTTACTGAGCACTGGGCTATGTTACTGAGCGTTGGGCTATGTTAGCTTATGGTTTGAAGGAGGGAAAAGACACAGATTACACCCTCAGATTGGTTTGTCACAGCCACAACATCAGACATGCAGACGTGCTTCCTGAGGGAAGGAAATCTGTGAAAAGCTGCAAAGTGTTGCCCGTAGAGATGGAGTCCTGTAGCTCAGTGGTTAGAGCAGTCGCCTCACAAGCGAACCCCTGGATTCGATGCCCAGGCAGGGCGAAATATTTACCCAGCAGTAAGTAGAAATCCAGTTCTTAGTTGATTGGTGGATCGATTTCAGGGGGTAATAACAGTGGAGTCCTGTAGCTCAGTGGTTAGAGCACTCGCTTTGCAAGCGAGAGACCTGAGTTCAATTCCAGGCAGAGGGCGAAACCTTGGGCAAGTTTCCTTACTCCACACAGAGCCTAATAATAATCCCTCCAACAAAAACCAATAATAAATTGGTCATTTTCAATCTACGACTGTTTGTGGGACATTGCTGTGCGCAATTGGCTGCCGCGTTCGCCCACAAATATACAGTCAGTTCACTTTACAGTGTGTTCTGTGAAGCGCTTTGGGACGTCCTCCTGACGTGAAAAGCGCTATATCAAATGCAAGGATTATTATTATTATTAATAATCCCTCCCCCCAAAAATAATAATAATTTGGTCACTCAATTCCATGACTGCTGGGTGCAATTGGCTGCCCGTGTATTGCCCAAACAATACACAGTCAATTCACTTGACAGTATATCCTGTGAAGCGCTTTGAGACGTCTCGAAGATGTGATAAAGCACTATATCAAATGCAAGTATTATTATTATTATTGTAAAGTAAATACAGTAACTTACCCTGCCCTTCTCCCCTCCCATTACCACTGGCAATAATAATCAACCTGCTCAATAAATATCGACGTAGCGTTTTGGAGAAGATTCCCAGACCAAAGCACATCACACCACACACACTTTCTCTTCCCAGCGATTGAAAGAAAGATTGGCCAAAGGGTTAATTGGAACATTAACACATTTGCTGGGAAACACACACACAGCAGTGAGCGCCAAAGGGCTGGAGGTTGTTCCCCAACACCACTCACATATTACAGTCAAGGGATCTCAGGGCTGTGGGGGGGGTCGCTGTGGGGGGGTCGCTGTGGGGGGGTCGCTGTGGGGGGTGGTCGCTGTGGGGGGTGGTCGCTGTGGGGGTGGTCGCTGTGGGGGTGGTCGCTGTGGGGGGTGGTCGCTGTGGGGGTGGTCGCTGTGGGGGTGGTCGCTGTGGGGGGTGGTCGCTGTGGGGGTGGTCGCTGTGGGGGGTGGTCGCTGTGGGGTGGTCGCTGTGGGGGTGGTCGCTGTGGGGGGTGGTCGCTGTGGGGGGTGGTCGCTGTGGGGGTGGTCGCTGTGGGGGGTGGTCGCTGTGGGGGGGTCGCTGTGGGGGTGGTCGCTGTGGGGGGTGGTCGCTGGGGGGGGTCGCTGGGGGGGGTCGCTGTGGGGGTGGTCGCTGTGGGGGTGGTCGCTGTGGGGGGTGGTCGCTGTGGGGGTGGTCGCTGTGGGGGTGGTCGCTGTGGGGGTGGTCGCTGTGGGGGTGGTCGCTGTGGGGGTGGTCGCTGTGGGGGGTGGTCGCTGTGGGGGGTGGTCGCTGTGGGGGGTGGTCGCTGTGGGGGGTGGTCGCTGTGGGGGGTGGTCGCTGTGGGGGGTGGTCGCTGTGGGGGGTGGTCGCTGTGGGGGGCTGAGTCTGGATAGCCTGTATTCTGACAGTTGCTGTCACACAACAATCTGCAATCTTTAATCGCCCCTCTACCGCTTCTCTCCCCCTTTACTTCTCTTCCTCTACATCTTCTACATCTTCCCCTCCTCTCCCCCTCCTCTCCCCCTCCTCTCCCACTCCTCTCCCCCTCCTCTCTTCTCCATCTCCCCCTTCTCTCCCCCTCCTCTTCTTTCCATCTCCCCCTTCTCTCTCTATCTCTCTCCACCCTTCCTCTTCGAGCCCAGAGAGAGGAGAGAGAGAGAGAGAGAGAGAGAGAGAGCCCAGAGAGAGAGAGAGAGAGCCCAGAGAGAGAGAGAGAGAGAGGAGAGAGAGAGAGAGAGCCCAGAGAGAGAGAGAGAGAGCCCAGAGAGAGAGAGAGAGAGAGCCCAGAGAGAGTCAGTGCCTCTCCTCCTCTTTCAATCACACACACTGTGTGCAGTGCACAGTGCCCCCCAGCGACACAATCTCGCTGCACAACCGCATCACCACACTGCAGAAACACACACACTGTCCCCAAATCCTCTAACCTGTCGGGATTTTATAATGTTTCTCTATCCATATATCTAATGATCTTTACTCACCTCTAATACTCAGGCTACATCCTGTTTATGCATCTCTACTAAATTGGGAGATCTGTAGCTCAGTGGTTAGAGTGTTCGCCTCGCAAGCGAGAGGACCTGGGTTTGATTCCTGGGCAGGGAGAAACGTTGGGCAAGTTTCCTTACTCCATTGTTTATCTAGCAGTAAGTAGGAACCCGGTTGTTAATCGATTGGTTGATTGCTTTTCTGGGGGTAATAATCCCTTTAAAAATAATAACAATATGGTCACTCAATCCACGACTGTTTGTGGGACTCTGCTGTGCGCAATTGGCTGCCGCGTTTCGCCCACAAAATATACAGTCAATTCACTTGACAGTATATTCTGTGAAGCGCTTTGAGATGTCTCAAAGAAGTGATCAGGCAAGGATTTGAGGGAAAGTAGGTGGGGCAAAGCAGAGCGGGCCATGTGGGGTAGAAAGGACAAGCCGCCAAGGTTCCGTACTGGCACAGTGAGGTAGAGTGTGCATCCATGGATGGTGATGCTGTCAGTGCCTGAGGTGTGGCTGCTTCCATCTCTGGGCACTTTACTTCAGGAGAGATGTTCTGGCCTTGAAGGGGTGGGGGGGAGTGGGGCGAGGCAGAGGCGGTTTATGAGAATGATTGTGGACATAAAGGGCTACAGTTATGAAGAACAATTGTAGAGGCTGGGTGTGTTTTCAATGGAGCAGAGAAGGCTGAGGTGGACACAATCATGAGGGCTTTGTTAGAGTAATTAGTAACAAATGATGGGCAGGGTCAGTGATGAGGGCACATGGTCATAAGATTGTCATTTAAATTAAATTATTATTATTATTGTCACAAGAACAATGAGAGGAGAGCTCAGGAAGAAGGTTTTCACTTAGAGAGGAGTTGGGGTGTGGAGACCATTGTAGCTTTCAAGAGGAAATCTGAAGTGGATAATTTTAATCTATCCACCTCAGTCTCAAAAATGTGAATGGTCCCAACATCCACAGTCTTTTGGGGGAGAAAGTTCCAGATTTGCACTACCCCTTGCATTAGAAACTGCCTCCTGATTTCACTCCTAAATGGCCTGGCTCTAATTTTAAGATGACAACCCCCACACTCACTTGTTCGGGATTCCCCCACCAGAGGAAATAGTTTCTCTGTAGCTACCATATCGAATTCTTTTATTATTTCAAACAACTCAATCAGATGACCCACCAACTTTTTAAACTCAAGGGAATACAGACCAAGGGTTTGCAACCTGTCCTCGTAATTTAACCCTTTAAGCCCTGGTATCATTCTGGTGAATCTGTGCTGCACCCCTTCCAGAGCCAATATATCCTTCCTGAGGTGCAGTCTCCAAAACGAAACCCAGTCTCCAGATGGGGTCTGAGCAAGGCTCTATACAGCTGAAGTATCATTTCCTCTTGTTTATATTCCAGCCCCATTGAGATAAAGGCCAACATTCCATAGACCTTTTTGATAACTTTTTGTATTTGTGAATTAGTTTTTAGTGAATTGTGTACATGGGCACTCTTTGCTCCTATACAGTTCTGAGTTAATAATCCTTGCATTTGATATAGCGCTTTTCACGTCGGGAGGACGTCCCAAAGGGCTTCACAGAACACACTGTAAAGTGAATTGACTGTATATTTGTGGGCGAACGCGGCAGCCAATTGCGCACAGCAGTGTCCCACAAACAGTCGTAGATTGAAAATGACCAATTTATTATTGTTTTGTTTTGGAGGGATTATTATTAGGCTCTGTGTGGAGTAAGGAAACTTGCCCAAGGTTTCGCCCTCTGCCTGGAATTGAACTCAGGTCTCTCGCTTGCAAAGCGAGTGCTCTAACCACTGAGCTACAGGACTCCACCATAAAGAAAATATTCTGTTTTGTCTTTTTTGGATACAGAGTGGATGATCTCATTGAATTCCATCTGCCACAGTTTTGCCCATTTACTTAATCTATCTAAATCCCTTTGTAACTTCCTGCTCTCATCAACACCATTTACTTAGCCTTGTACCTTTATGTTATCTGCAAACTCTCTATTCTTTCATCCAAGTCATTTATATATATGGTGAAAAGCTGAGGCCCCAGTACAGACCCCTGGGAACACCACATGTCACGTCCTCCCAATCAGAGAACATTCTTTGTTTCCTGCTTCCCAAACAATTACCAAGCCATGTCACTAGGTTACTTCCAATTCCATGCGCATTTATTTTTGCTGATAACCTCTTTTGCGGAATCTTATCAAATGCCTTCTGAAAGTTCATATAGACGACATCCATAGACACTTTTTTATCCACCTTATTAGTGACTTAAAATTCAATTTGATTAATATTTATTTATTTATTTTGAGTGAATTATTACCCCTGGAAAAGAAATCCGCCAATCAACCAATTGTGCACAGCAGTGTCCCACAAACAGTCGTGGATTGAGTGACCATATTGTTATTATTTTTAAAGGGATTATTGCCCCCGGAAAAGCAATCAACCAATCGATTAACAACCGGGTTCCTACTTACTGCTAGATAACCAGCGGCGTAATGAGTAAGGAAACTTGACCAATGTTTTACCCTGGCCAGGCATCAAACCCAGACCCTTTGCATTGTGGCAATGGGTAATTATGATATGGTAGGAATCACTGAGACATGGCTAAACCAGGCTGATGGAAGTAAATATAACTTACAAGGATACAGGCTATTCAAGAAAGATCAGAGTGGTAGGAAAGGTGAAGGAGTTTCCATGTATGTAAGAGACAAGGTGAGGTTACAGTAGTTGAGCCCACATCACATCACATCACATCACAGGATCAGTCACAACTGGCACCGCCTTCCATCACCTCCGGAACATCGCCAGACTACGGCATTACCTCACCCCTCACGCGGCTGAAACTCTGGTCCACGCCTTTGTCACCTCAAGGCTGGACTATGGGAACTCTCTCCTTGCCGGCCTTCCCGCCACCTCCCTCCACAAGCTGCAGGTCATTCAGAACTCTGCAGCTCATGTACTGTCCCGCACCAGGCTTCGGGACCACATCACTCCCACCCTCGCTTGCCTCCACTGGCTCCCCATCCCCCAGTGGATCGAATTCAAGATCCTCATCCTCACCTACAAGGCCATTCACGGCCTCGCTCCCTCCTACCTCTCCAACCTACTATCCCCCTACCTACCCTCCGTTCCTCCGGCTCCGGTCTGCTCCACGTCCCCCGCCCCAATCGCCCTACCATCAGTGGTCGGGCCTTCAGCCTCTCAGCCCCGAGGCTCTGGAACTGTATCCCCCAGTGCCTTCGCCGCTTCCTCCCTCTCCTCCTTCAAGGTCTCAAAACCTTTCTCTTTGACCGAGCCTTCAGCTCCCCTCTCGACTCTCTTCCCCCTTCTCGCTCTCTCCCTCCCCTCCCCTCACCCTGACCATTTCCCCCCTCCTCGCTCCCTCCCTTCCCTCCCTCACCCTGACCATTTCCTCCCTGCTCGGGTCATGACCCAACTGTGCAGCGCCTTGGGACGTCCTCCTGACGTGAAAGGCGCTTTATAAATGGAATCTTGTTGTTGTTGTTGTTGTTTGAAATTCTGTGTTAGACTTGCTCAACAAGGGAAAGCCTAGACTAACCTTTAGGGTTTGCTATAGACCATCGGCCCAAAGCAGGGAGAACAATGTGTCACAGTGATAATATCAGGAACGGATGTAAGAAAAAACAAGGTGGGCCGATTAGGGACCAAAATGGAAATCTTCTTGTGGAGGCAGAAGGCACCGCTGAGGTACTGAATGAGTAATTTGCATCTGT